TGCTGCTCCCCTTGCTTGTGCTTTCTCTGTGTCTGTCTCTCTCTCTCGCTGTCAAATAAATAAATAAATAATCTTCAAAAAAAATTGGCAAAGACTATTAATGAAAAGTTGAGTATGTAATCATTGGTATTTTTTAACTTAAATAAATCTATACCTTAAACTACATATAATGTTTAAGTTCATAGCTCAATTTAGAATAAAATAATTTATTACAATATTATTGCCTTTCTGCTCATATTCATCTTGTATATTATCTTCCTAATCACGTCTGAACCTTTCCTGATCAGAAACCTGTAACAATTCCTCAAAATCTGTCAAATTCGGTGCAAATTCCTCATCCTTACGTCAATGCACTCCTTATGGCCCACCTTCCCAGTCTTTCAGTCTCTCCTGACTATTTCACTAATAGCCTAAGCTCCAGACAAACCTGCTCTTCACACCATTTGCTCACCACCAGCAGGCCCTTTGTACAGGCTGCCTCCTCTAACAAGGACAAGTTCCACCCCAACCTAGTAGCTCCTACTTATCCAGTAAGATGTGCCTCAAGTCTCTGGGCTTCCTGTCACCTCCCTACCCTGTGTTCCCTAAGACCGAATCTGACGCTTCTGCACGATCCCCTAACTTGATCATTTACAGCTTACTTCATCGTAGCATAAGTATGGATTTATTTAGCTAACCCCCCAATAAGACTGTGAGCTCCTTAAGTATAAGGACTCATTTTACATATCCTGGACTGATCACAGCTCTTGCCTAACGTTAGAAGTTTAACAAACAGACCAGAAACCAAGAAGGTTATCAACCCTTGGCACTAGGGCTCACAGCGTTCCTCGTGTAATTTTATAAGAGTTGTGCGTTTATAAAACTGAATGGGAAAGCAATCTAGTACATTTCTCTTACACAGACTTTCAGTATCTCTCTGCACTGTATTTGTGTGCTTGTCTTATATCCTTTTTAGACTCTAAACGTTTCAAGGGTAGAGATTACATCAAAACACTGTAACTGGACCCACAGATACAGGTACTCATGGATGGACACAAGGAAGGACATACACATATTTGTGTTCTGCCAGTGCCGCCCTGCTTCAACACCATTATGTGGAGAAGCCAGTAAAGTTACAAACCTACCTTACAGAGATCTAACAGAGTCACATTTTAAAGTTCTGATCTCTTCATAATGTTATCTAAGTTTATTATGAAACTATGTATAGCAGAAGTCTAGACAATTTTCATATGTACAGGGAGTGGTATATTTGCTGCTCTGACATTTTATTATTTTCTTACTCTACCTAAATTTTAAAACTCAAACTCAAAAATCTGATCACTCCAACCCAAAAGCATACTTTAAAAGTTAGTTGTGTTTTTTTTAAGATTTGTATTTATTTGACAGAGAGAGAGAAAGCAAGCATAAGCAGGGGGAGCGGCAGAGGGAGAGGGAGACGCAGGCTCCCCACCGAGCGGGAGCCCAAAGCAGGCCTCGATCCCAGGACCCTGGGATCATAACCTGAGCCAAAGACGCTCAACCAACTGAGCCACCCAGGTGCCCCTAAAGTTAGTATTTGAGGAACATTAGCAAGCACTGAATGCTCTACAAAACAATCATTTAAAAACCGTCAAAATGTTTTAATTTTGACAAATGGGTTGCCAATGTAGTAGCAACAGTAATAGCTACAATTAAATGAACTCTGCTGTTCTAAGAACTTCAACTGTTGTTAACCTTATAACCCAATTTACAGTGAGGAAAGTGAGGCAAGGATAAGTTACCTGATCAACGATACACAGCCAGCAAGCAACTGAGCAGGGATTCAAACCCATCCCATGCTTTGAACTACTATACCATGCAAGACAAATAGCACTTCTCCATAGACCCAAAAGTGTTTATCCAAGTGACAGGGACAGGCTATACATGTATTTTAGTGTTCCTTCCAACAGTTTCATAGATACTTCAAGCAATTAAATAAAAAATATATAATATTTTAAAACTGTGTGTCTATCCTGCAGGATTATTCTCCATGAAGCTACTTTACACATTAAATCAGAGACGGTTGCTTTGGTATCGTATTGCACAGTGAGGTTTCTTAGCAGTATCCTATTTTGGGTACATCGTAAAGACAAAGGGAACTACCAAATAACGTAATTAAAAAGCATTTTAAGAAACAGTAAAATGTCCCTACAAAAAGAAAATGTGGGGTGCCTGGGTGGCTCAGTCGTTAGGCGTCTGCCTTTGGCTTGGGTCATGATCCCGGTTGTCCTGGGATGGAGCTCTGTGTCAGGCTCCCTGCTTAGTGGGGAGTCTGCTTCTCCCTCTCTCCCACTCCCCCTGCTTGTGTTCCCTTCTCAGCTGTCTCTCTCTCTCTCTGTCAAATCAATCAATCAATCAATCAATCAATCTTTTAAAAAAAGAAAAAGTTACGGTAATGGTACCATCATGCTTAATGTTTACAGGGTTCTGTTAAAATTTATTTTACCTAAAATGAAATGACTCTTACATATTTTAAAGATCAAAACAGATTCCAAAATATCCTCACTTTGTATGACCACCAATTAAAATATTTCCTTTGTATCTTTTTCTCATGATCGCTCTACCTGTCATATTCTCCCTCACTTGAAACAAAGTTGTCCTTAAGCCACTCATTTTTCTAATTAAGTTCAAATACTTTTTAATATTAGGTTGAACCATATAAAATTACCCTTTCCAACCACTTTTACCTATGGGGTGGACACTTCACAGGCTTTAATCCAGTAACTTTCCCCAACTGGACATATCAAGAAAGAATAAATGTACTTAACAAAGTTATGAGTGTTCCATCACTGGATTACTTTCTTGGTGGCACAGAAGAGAATAAACAGCTTACACTGTTTTCAGACTCAATAGGAAAGAAAATAAAAATAAAAAATAATCATTCTCATGAGAAACACAATATATTGTCAGGTTAAAAAACAGAGTTACAAAAAAGTATGATACCAATTCCATTTATACATAAAAATACCAAATATTAAAACTCTGGTTAGACTTTAGGATTTTTGTTCTCTTCATTTGACAGTTCTGTTTTCCTAATTTTCTAATTAAAATGTATTTCTGTGATTTGTAAAAAGGTTTAAAAAAGTCAATCTTTCCTTATTCTTTACCAAAAAGATACTTAATACATCAATGAAATATATGTGCAATCTAAAGCAACTATAAAAATTTTAAATAGCCTACATCTTTTTGTTAACTCGGTAACATAGTCCATGAGAAATAACACAGTAACTTAATTCTAAGAACACTGATTATGTGCTTTGTTGGTATGGACAAATAACTTTATACATCAGGTAAATAAGCCTAATTAACAATTGGGTTTGGTTTTGGTTTCATCAATATTATAAAGTGATAATTTGTGCTGCTAACAAGTAAAGACCCGACCAAAAAGTTAAGATATAAGGTATGAATATGGAGAAATGGAAGAAGATTAAGAATCAGAAATAATCATGAGAAATATAGGATGAACAAACAAAAATGCTATAGTCCTCTATACTACATGTGTAAAAAATTTTAGAACAAAAATATATGTTTTCATACTTAAATGGACAAATATAAATGTTATCTTCTAGGGTTATCTTATTTTAAAAATCCTGATAAATGGAATCCAGATGTGGTTAAACTAATTCTACCTGAGTTCCCTGCTAACTACATGAAATAAGCTTTGGTATGTATCTATGTTCTGAGATTCTGCTGATTAACCAGCTAAGTAAGCAATCTTACCCAGACAGGGTTCTTATATTTATAAACCAAATATTCTACAAACTATGGGAAGAAAGGTTTGTATTGAATAGACAAATGGACCATAAGATAAACAGCTCAATTAGTCCACTGCAGTTTACTGCCCTCTGGCTGTTGTGGCAAGGGATATCACAGATTAAAAAAAAAAAATGGCTGCAAAGCAAAGTTAGAAAGGTATCAAGCAAAAGTTGGCAGGAAATCCTTTAGGCAAAATCAGACACCTTCGAATAGGCCCTCAAATATAAAGTTAGCTTTACTCCTTCCTTTAAAAAAAAAAAAATACTAAATATATCAACTAACAAAACATTTCAAATACTATCTGAACTTTTTCAACCACAAACTAACAAAATGTAGAGTAGTTTGGACATAATAAAAGTTGGCTCTAGGAGACTTAGGTCAAAAAGAGTTAACACACTACCCTAAGTAAGGATTGTAATTAATCTTGATCTAGAAAAATTCTTTAGCATACTAGATGGAAACATTTAGGTAAAGAAGTAAAAAATTTTGAGCAAAGAATATTAATAAAATTTCCTCTGGTTATAAATCTTCAGTAAATACAAAAAGTAACTTAGAATAATGAAACTCTTACATTAATTCAAAGTTTCCAGATATGAGATGTAATCTGAAGTTAAAAATTAGGTAACACTGGACCAAGTATTTCCAGGAATCACCTAATTATATAAAAAGCAGAAACAAAACAAAGGAAAACTTGCCATATCAAAATTAGACCAGATTCTTTATATTAATCTTTCTTCAAAATACTATCCAATGTCATCTCATAATTTTGTCCAATAAGGCTTGTACTAACTTTCTCTTATCACTTTATAATATTCCACCAGAGTTCAGCTGGTAATGAACCACAACAGCCACAATCCAAGAAAAAACAATTCTGTTCATTTCACTGACTTGCTAATTACTCACAATTCACTAATGTTTTAAAATAGTGGATCTTGCCTCGTTTCCACCCCCCAAAAACACCTAGGAGTCACAGTATTTCCTTTAATAGTGGTTCGTTCACAGGTTCTGGTTTCTAGCATGACTGGGAAAGAACAAGAGATTTTGGTGGGGGGGACTGGGAGTGGAAAGAAGAGGGGTAAGAGTGAAGACATTCCTTTTGAGAGACACACCCATTTAAACACTTGGATTTTTCTCAGCAAGTCTTCATAAATTACTTTTGAAATTTACTACTGTTAAAAAAATATATATGATGTTAACAGTTTTTAAGAAAAAAACAAAAAGCTTACCCTGCAGTTCATGATGTATTACACCCACTAGGTTGGGTTCATCTCCCCACCAGAATATCCATAACTCTTTGCAATCTGGTTTGACATCACGACGCCATACACACAGCAAGTTGGCTTGCAGACAACGGATGAAACTTAACAGGATTGGATCATCTTGGGCTGGGGCTGAAATTATGGGTCCACAGTCCCCGTGCCCTCCAAAATTGTACCTACGCCATTTGATTCCCGTGAGTTCAGCCTAGAAAAAAAACAGAATTACAATGATTTTGATATTTCTTCTTAGTCACAGAACACTAAAAACAAGCTTCTGTATGGACAAGCAAATGTGCTAAAATAACTATTTACATTACTTCAGATAAGATTTTTCTCACTGAATAATTTTGTCAATCCTCCTTGATTTTTAAAAGGAGAAAAAATACATTTCTTCCTATCAAGATTTCTACATAGCTCTTTGTATTATACCAAATTACAACAAACAGATGACGATTATTTCCAGTTGAACCATTTTTACCAAAAACTTACTATAAAGTCCTTACATATAAAACTATTTTGTTATTCCGTATTTGATTCATAAATTAATTCTTTTTTTTAAGAGTTTGTTTATTTATTTGAGAGAGAGAGAGAACGCAAGTAGGGGGAGAGGCAGAGGGAGAAGGAGAAGAAGACTCCCCACTGGGCTGGGAGCCCAACATGGGGCTCAAATCCAGGACGCTGGGATCATGACCTGAGCTGAAGGCAGATGCTTAACCACCTGAGCCACCCAGGTGCCCCATAAATTATATTTTGAAATCAGGAAAGAGTTTAAAAAGTAAGTTTGTAAAAGTGAAGTAATTTCTTTCAAAGGATCTCAATTTATTCCCATGCAGAAGCTACAGTTTGAATCCTCTTTAATCAGGAAAGCAGTGAGCCTGCAATACCATAGTGCTTCATTACTAACAGCAAAGCAAGCTACTAATGAAACCGATGCAGTTATCAGCAATTTATGCATGTTCCTTAGCATGTAACAGAGAAAGAAGCTTTGCTTCTAGAACAATTCCCTAATGTAGTTTTGTCTTTTGTTTTCTAAACACATTTTAAAACACCGACACTAAACCAGCTGAGAGCAGAACCTGGATCTTTATTCCATTATTCCTATATTTTAAAACTTCACAAATCTTAGAGGTCTGAGGAACTAAAATTCAAAGATGTTTCAACACAAACAAAAGTTGAATTCCTTATTTAAGTAGCTATAAACTATAATTATGTATTCAAAACTGACAATAAAGTGGATTCATAACATAATTCTGTACAAAAACAGTCCATGTGTCCCTTGCATTAGATCCTTACTCATCTTCCCCTCACCACCCCCACCAAGTCAATTTCTGTCAATAGTTGTTTTTCAAAAACCAAGTACAACAGGGTAGAAAAATAACCATATCTTCTGCTAACGTAACTGAAACAAATTTAAAGTGCTGAAACAATCACTATAATGAACACATTCAAGAAAAAAAATATCAATTTTCTTCAATCCTAAACAAATGCTTCACTTCTAAAAAAAAAAAAATGGTTCCAAAAATAATAATATCCAAACTAAAACTGTCCGGCACTTAGTAACTTATCCTTTCATATTATGAGATATGCAAATCTAATATCTAATGGATATTCTTAGTAAAAGCTAGCATTGGCATCATTTATGCTTTCCCCCTTACGCCACTTTGTTTTCTCAGAGTATGAAAGTACTACATGAATAATGCACTAAGTTCAAAAATAAATAATATAAATTAAAAGTAATCACACCAAGAATATTTTCCAAAATCACATCAAAAATAATTATTAGTGTCTTAATGTATGTTCTTCCTATTTTTCTGTACATATACAGTTTTTAATTTGGAACCATATTACATGGTCTTATATCCTGCTTTTTGACTCATTATAAATATTTTTGTATATTAATTATTCTTCAAAAAGTTAATGTTTGCATAATATTCATTGTTTATTGGAGAAAACGTAATTTATCCCATAACAACTAGACAATCTTCTGCTTTTTTATTTTATAATAATAACTGGTAAACTCCTTGAAAATTGTTACTTTCCTGGTTATTTTCTTAATAGACATTGCTTGATGCACAATTACGGAAGAATACGAAAGAATATGAATATGAAGACTCATGGATGAGTGCCACCATATAGCTTTTTTTTTAAGATTTTATTTATTTATTTGACAGATAGAGCCATAGCCAAGCAGGAGTGGGAGAGGGAGGGGGCTTCCCGCCCAGCAGGGAGCCCGATGTGGGGCTGGATCCCAGGACCCTGGGATTCCTGGGATCATGACCTGAGCCGAAGGCAGACACTCAATGAGTGAGCCACCTAGGCGCCCCCCACATTGCATATCCTCCTAAAAATCTGCCAATTTAACAGGATGGAATGTTCCTGTACTAATATGCAGTCCTTTCTCTGCTTAGAGGAAACCATTATCATCTATTTCATCAGAAGTATAACCTGGGGCCAGCCTTCGGGTTTGAATACCAGCTCTATACTTAACTACCTCTAAGTAGCAAGTACTTAGCAAGTTACCAAACCTTTGTCTGTCACCTCACCACAAAAATTAGAATAACAGTATTTACAGAGTTGATTAAATGAGTAAGTACGTATATAAAACACTTAGGATGATGCCTGGCATACGGCAAAACATATAAATGATATTGCTATCATTACTAGTAATGGTAGTACAACTTCTTTGTTCATATCCTTTTTGCATAAAGTTCCTTTATTTCTTCAAATGAAAGCAATGTATACGTATGTATGTATGTGTGTGTTTTAAACAGAAAGTCTAACTTCAATTTGTAAATAAATGTCAAAGAAACTAAATAAAAAGACATAAAAAAGGGGGCAGCTGAAATCATAAAAGAAGACTAACATTCCTTATGATCACCTAAGCTAGTGTTCTGTGCCTATGGATCAGGGGGCTGGAGGGAGGAGAGATAAAAGATACCAATAAATATAAATCACGATTGATTTTTGTGATAACGATATGTAAAGGGTTAGAAAATTAAGATTTATCAGAGATTAAAACATCAGGTGAGTCAGTCCCCAAGAAATCTATGAACAGCAATTTACTCACCAGAATACTTTCACCTGTAACAAACAGCCCACATGGTTTAGCAAACAAAATATTTGGCTTTGATTCAGAAGAATGGTTTCCTAATCCTAGCACTTGCACTAACTTCCTATCAGTGTTTCTCTGGTCTCAGTGATAAAGGGAAACCTGGCCACTTGCTCTATATTCTTTAAGGAGTTGTTCTAGCAAGTGATAGAATACAGATTCAAGCCTACAAGCTTAATCACTTCATAACTAATTCAGCTGGAAAAACTGGAAAATGTCCAGTTATTTTAAAATAATTTAGTTCTTTTACCTTAAAGCTAAAATTAAATATCATTATACCAGTCTTCACTGGAAAATCTAACAATGAAACACCATTTAAGCCTAACAGAGATAACTAAGCATAAAGTTAATGTTCAAAGACTTAGCTCTAAACTTGAATTATTATTTGATAAGAGCAAAGACAACTTAGTGATAGCAAAATACTGTCCAAAAAAAAAAAATCCCTGTCACGGGTGTATGTTCACTTAGACTAATACATGTCTTCATATACCATGATCCTGTTTATAGTTAAAAAGCAATTCCACACAAACTTCTATGGACCAATTTCTGACAAAAGTATAGGTCTCCAAGACTCAAAATTCTTTATCTAATGATTTCAAAATTGTGAAGCAACCCTTTAAAATATTTCTACATGCAAGTTATCCCTAAATGCAATACTTCTCACTGCCAAGACAAACAATTCATAATTATATTTAAATTTAAAATTACATTTTTAAAATACAGAATCAAAAGAATGAAATTAAAATATATAAGGAACAAAACCAGCATTCATGAACAACCACAACTATCACCACATATTCATCACCTATTAATTTCTAACATTAAACAATATACTAGGATCTTCACATGTAATTTCTAATCTTCACAAACAGACAGCTAAAGAAATTAGGACTCAGAAAGGTTAAATAATTCTGCCCTAGCTACACAGGCAGCAAATGGCAGATCCCAAATATAACTGGATTTAAAGCATAACTGAATTTAAAGCATAAATTCTTTCCTGCTCTACCATGCTGCTTCATAAGGCTAATGGTAAAAATTAGCCCTAGAGGATTATAAAATAGTACAAAGAAACTGTCATCAACTCAGTTTAGCAATGGCAAGAGCTCATGGCCATACTTTCTAATTTAAGAAAGTTCATGAATCTTTCTTTAGTCTTCCTGAGGTATTAAGAAAACTAGTACAAGAGTGCCCACACACCATCCCATGAATAGAAGAGACTTTTTTTATTTCACTCAGATAATTATATGCCTTCTTTTATATGTTACCACTGTAAGACTGTATCTACACAAGCTAATTTTTAGAGGATATGTATAACAAACCAAGAAAACAACAATTCTAATAACAGCAAGAAAGGCTAGAGGGAAATTTTCTCATCAATGGCTGGCATCTGTTACACAGGTAGTCACGGTCCTCAGAAAATTGAACTTAACTGGCAGAGATTCCCCTGGCCTAAATAGAAGGCCACTATAGTCAGTTCAGAACGGTTGGAATTAAATAGATTGTAACAGAATCAGGACAAATACACTTTCTAACAGCAGGAATGTATTGAAAGAAAATTTATATTGATTCTTAATGTGCTATTCTTTAGGCACAATACATAGGAAATGACCTCATAAATTCTCCCAATGGAAGTCATTTACTTGCACTGACCCATCGCAATCAGAACCCACATGACCAACAGTATATACTTGCAGTACGGCTCCTCAGAGTTAAAACTATATTAGTGGTTACCAGAGTAAAAGTAATAGGCCTTGATATGAACAAACTCAGGGCGTAGTATCATGGAAAGAACACTGGCTGGAGATCAAAAGATCTAGGTTTGAGTTCTAGTTTTCAACTACTTACCTATATGGCATTAGGAAATCTACTCCATCTAAGGGACCGTAGCTTCTGACCTGTAAAGTGATATGGTTGACCTAGATACTGTAAATGAGTTCAAGTCTCCTGGCCCGGGCTAATTACATCCCACTCACAAAGGCAACCTGTAAATGAGACTGAACCCTTAATTATATGCCTTAGAATGATCAGTAGGAATAGGAGAGCCGCCAGAAGATTTGAATTTTCAAAAAACAGGTAAAAGAAAGACTTCTCAAACT